GCTCGGTTTCGACGCTCCAAGCTTGAATTTTCGACGTCTAAATGTTTAACACTCGGGCGACGAATTAATTTCTTCCAAATTAATTCGTCGAGTTGGTTCGCATATATTTGCTTGGGTGTGACCCGAAGGGTTCAGTCAAAATTAAGCTGTAATATTAATTATATTAATATTACTGATCGGAAGCGGCCTCCACCCAGGCATTCCGATCACTTGACCTTACTAAATATATTAGCTTTCTAATAATTCTGAACCCGCTATCAGAATAATACACTTGTTCGAAGGACACCATTCCTTTCAGATGTATATGGAGAGATATGAAGAATTAGGAGTAGAATGTAACCCCAACTCAAATGACGGAAAAAACCGACTCATGCATGAACCTAAGACATGGTCATGGTGATATATACTCAAAGTGTGTGCTAAGACTAGTGAGTGTAGTGAGCGTAGGTGACATATTAAGACTCTTGTGTAAGACCATGTGGCTAGACTATGTGACTAGACTCAATTAAGGACTTAACGAGGTATTATTATTAATAAAGTAATCGAGTTGATTAGCAAACTCTTTAATTAGACACAAAGTGATGACTCGAGCAATATACCGAACTATCGTCAAAACGACAAGACTAGCGCCGCAATGTGAAGTGTAGCGCCAAACGACAGAACTGTCGCCAGGCGCTGCAGTCCAAATCTCGGCGCCATTGCTGGAACGTTGATCTGGGACTGCTTTCGGTATTATTACTCTACAGGGTATACCTAAAGTCGTACTAGGTCAATTCTGATTAATTTGTTAGACTTTAATTACTCTAATTAATTAATTAATTAGACAAAGTTCTTTTAGTCATTAATCAGTTTATTTAGTCTTAACACAAGTCAAACAAACGGTTAGGAAAAAACACATAGAGTATGCACAACAAATAATGCACAGTTAGTCAAGTAGGCACAATATGATGCAATGAGTTTGCAACATAACCATGGATCTAGTTCTCTAAAGTTCGGGATATGGGTTAGTCAAAGAGGGTCCATGGTTAATTGTCCGGATGCACCGCACGGAAGCCTAACCTTGAAGGTTTGGCACGAGTGGATGGGACACCGCGAGTTAAAAAACGTGCTTCCATGGTTTGGTGAATTCAACATTCTCGGATGTACCCTTTGTTGCACAGAGCGTTCAATCAGGTAAATGGAGCATGAATTCCCAGAGGGTTATGTACATATGTAGAACACATATGGGTTTCAGAAAAGTGAGAAAAACTCAATCAGGAAGTAGGAACAAGCAAACAGTGCTAAAAACTGGTCAAAATTAGAACGCATATTTCTGGCTCGGTATTGGAAGAACTTGGCGCCAGCGAACAGAGGTCGGCCCTGCAATTTGGCTTTTGGTGCCTAGCAACAGAAGCTGTCACCTGGCGCCAGAGTTAAATCATCGGCGCTAGACTCCGTCTTCTGACGCTAGCTCCTACATGCCTCAGCAGCTTTCTGTGCTCGATAAAATTATCCAGTTTCGCGTAGCATTATTTCAATCCTAGTTGTGAAAGATATTCCTCAAATTTCCTACGTGTAAAAATCCTATGTTTTAACTCATTACGGATGATGTTTCCAATGAGATCTTTTTTAAGCATAAGACAATAATATTAATCAAAATTATGCACATGAAATACTTAGAACTTTTTGAGTCTCATCCACTCATTCTAAATCATTGCCGAAATAAATTTCAGGAATTAAAATAGAAATCCTCCCCAGTAGAGTCGCCAAAAAACTGTTGGGAATATTTCAAGCATCACCCCAAACTTGAACCCCAGTAGAGTCGCCAAAAAGCTTGATAACATTAATGCACAAATAAAACTATTATTAGCGATCACTTGAATTATAATCATATTAACCCTAAACAAATTATTAATTATCTTATTAAGAGTGATTACAAGTACAAATTCCCTTTAAACATGCATAAAAGGCGTGATCAAGCAATAACAATAAAAATAATCAAGCAACATAATAACCATCAAAAATAATAATTATAAAATCATGTTAAAGCATAATAATAGCAAGATCCTAGGCATGATACTAACAAGATTAATAACAAACCCTAGCATGTCACTAAACAATAAAGATAAAAGCTCTAACCCTAACATAATACTAACATGAATATATTAGGAAGAAAATAGGAAGCATCGCAGGAATCACAATTTTCATATTTGATATTAGAAATTATAGTTGTTACCCTAAACATGATACTAGGAAGATCAAAACATCCTAAACATAACACTAGGGATCATTATAACCTAGACATGATTTCTATATCATAATAACAATGCAAACAATTAAAGCACTTACTTGGATGCCTCGTATCTCTTTCTAATAACAAAATACACACGTTAGTAACTTCAATTAAAATAATAAATCAACAATTAAATTAGATAACTGAAATAAAGAATTAAGAAAGTTTAGACTAGATTTGGGACCAAAACCTCAGAAATATCAAACCTTTTCACGTCTAGGGCAAAGGCAACTTCGAACTTAGCTAGGTGTGTCTAGTGCTAATGTATGAGGAATTATGTTTGTAAAAGGTCTAGGCTTAGAAAAGAGGGAGAGAATTAAGAGATTCTTGATGAGAATTGGTGAGAGAGAGAATTAGAAAGTTGATAGAGAGAATTGATGATGAAAACGGAGGTTTTAGGAGGCTATTTATAGAGAAAATCAGCCGGATGTGACAGAAAAACGAATCAGAGTTTCTAAGAGAATAAAACATCTTAGCGCCAGACGCCAAGCCTTAGCGTCAGCCGCTAATCCTATCGTCAGGCGCTAGAAATCAGCTTCACACGTTTTCTTAATTTTGATAAAATTTAGCCGTACAGAAGGGAAAAATCGTATTTTCCTTAAAAACACTTTTTTTATTTTGATTAAAACTCTAAAAAGTCAAGTAGAGTCAATTTATCAATGCTAATTAAATTAGGAATGAAAAGAACCTTCTAGAAGAATCTAGAAGACTATAATCAATTCTAATTGCATTAGGAATGATAAATCAATATTAGGCCCTCCTCTAGATCATTGGCCACATATAAAGATCAAATCGGGCCCATGGTTTCTTTGCTTGTGTTTTTTAGGAACCATTATGTTAAAAGAAGAAGACCTTGGGCTAAAGAGAGAGCACTGCACGCCCCCTCGAGAGAGCGCACATGAGCTCTGCACGGGCGCACAACACTGTGAGAAGGCGCACAGATCGAGAACTCAAAAGGGGCTAAGACAGACTGTTTTGCGCGACAGCTGTGCGACATTTGAGAAGGCGTGCACCCATTCTGCGCGGACACGCAACATTGTGAGAAACCGCGCAGATGGAGGAAGAAAAAGAAAACAAGTCAGGGAGTTTTGTGCGCCTGCTGCGCTACCCTAGCGCGCGCGTGCAATATCCCTGCGCGGGTGCGCAGTCTTCTGTGTGCGCGCGTCTAGCTGGGTCTCCTTTCTCTGTACCCACGAAGTTGCGGGCAACACTGGGTTCTAGTCATCGATTTCTTCTTTTCCGAACACCTATATATAGTATGTACTCTCCTTATAATGTAATTAGATTAGCTTAGCTTAATTTTCTAATTTTTAGCTTAATCTAGAGAGAGAAACATCCTTAGTTTGGCATTTTAAAGAGAGAAAGTGAGGATTCCTCCATTGTTGAGCTTGGATTTTGAAGAAGAATCTTAATCAACCTCTTTATAGATCTTCAACTTCAATGAATGAGAATTTCCTTACTCTTTTCTCTTTACTAGTTTTCGAGCTCCACGCGCGCGATGCACGCGCTTCGTATGGTGAATCGAAAAATTTTAGTTTGGCACTTAACGTTAATGCGTAATTAATTTGTTGTATATTGACACACTGACCAAATGAACCCTCAAGTAACCCCTGACCGAGTAACCCCTGAATGAACCCTCAAGTAACCCCTGACCGAGTAACCCCGAACCGAACTCTTTAAGTAACCCTAACCGAATTACTCAAGTTATAGACTTCTAACTAAATTGTTCATCCCTAAACAGTATTCTCCCATGAAAAATTTGCTAACCCCTAAAAATACATAAAATTACGCACCTCACCCTTTAATAAATTGCTCACCCTTAAATAATTTAATTTTCTCACCCTAAAAAACATATTCAATTACCCCGCTGTTGAAAAAATTGTTTATCCCTAAATAGTTCACTTCCATTTTAAATAATTTGTTCACTCTTAAAAATCATATAAAATTACCTTACGCCTAAACAAATTTGCCGCCTCTAAAAATCATAGTCAATTACTTAACCCCTAAATTACATCCTAACCCCAAAAAATTTTGCTCAACCCTAGAAATGCTCACCTCTTAAAACCTAAAAATATTAGTCGTGAGCGTCCTAGCTACACCAACCCTACTTAAGATGGCTCGAATAATACCTATTCTTGCGCTTGAACTTATTTGACACCACATCGGGTTAAATATTTTGCTCATCCTTAAATAATTTGTCCACCCCTAAAAATTGTATGCAAATTTCCTCACTCGTAAATAGTTTGCTCACCCTTAAATAACTTTTTCACCCCTAAAAATTGTATACAATTTTCTCACCCGTAAAATAAATTGCTAACTCGTCAAAATAATTTTAACCACTAAATAGTCTGCTCACTCCTACATAATTTGTTCACTCTCAAAAACAATACGAAGTATATAATTACCTTACTCATTAAAAAGGGGTTGCGATGGTTTAATATTAGGGCATATCGATTATTTGAACTTTTATTGTGGATTGTATCAAATAGAAATAGTTTGTTCACCTCTAAACAATTTGTTTACCTCTATCTAAAAATTTATACAACAACCTCATTCTAAATAAAATATTATTCAACCCTAATTAAATACTTTTCTCACTCCTAAAGAATTTGCTCACCCGGCCCATAAACATCATATTTTACCTCGCCTCTAAACAAATTGTTCACCCCTAAATAGTTTATTCACCCCTTAACCATTAATCTACCGTTGGCCTCCAAAGACATACATGTGCAATAATAAACCAATTTCTAGCCCACTCTTATTATAAGAGTACCAAAATTTTCGTGTAGTTTGTACATCAATAAGAATATATCATCATATTCCCGTCCAAAAAATAAAAGAATATCAAGCACTCTTTTCAAGAAAAACCCAAATTTGAATCTCACTTCTTTTTTTTTGAAGGAGGTGGGTAAATATATTAAAACAAATGTTAAGTTACAACCAGATTTAAAAGAGCCAAAATGCCTTGTGGGAAATTAGAATAAAAAATTTGCTTAACCCCACCAAAGGAACTATTCTAATAGCTAGGTGTGCAACATCATTACCACACCTTTAGACATGATGACAGAAGTAAAAGAAGACTCAAGTAGACACATATCCTCAATAATCAGATCATACAAAGCTCTCCACTTCATTCCTGAGCATATGGCTTTTACTACCTCTAACGCATCGCATTCTAGTTCAATGTTCTCGAAACCAAGTTGGCGAGCCAAAAGTACTCCCATTCCTGGAGCAACAGCCTCAGCCATCGCCACAAGCCCCTCATGTTTCACACGACACACAGCAACAACAATTAATTCACCTTTAGCTCCTCCGATGGTAGCCCCTAATCCTTTACCCATACCCCTTAAAATTGCAGCATCAGTATTAACACGCACTCTCCCTGTTCTAAGGAGTTGTCAATTGGTTCAAGAAACAACAGCACTGGTCTGCTGGGTCAATTTTCACACAACAGCAACATTGTATCTTTTGTACTCTCCAACAAGGCGCAAAAAACCAAGCACTCTAAATATCTATCTTTCCACGGAGTGTTATGCACAAAAAACAGGTCGAACATCAAATAATACCTGAGTTTATCCACCTCAAACTCGAAACGAGCAAACCTTGCTCCATCTTCCTCCTTCCGGATATTTCAGAAAGAAAACAGAGAAACAGGAGGAAAGTACTTCACACTGAAAATAATAGAAACTGAATTTATCAGCATGAAACAAAAAGAATTGAAATAACAAGCTAGGAAAAAGAACACATACTCATGAATTTACTGCTGCCACTGCTACAACCATAGGAAACTTCAGAACCTCTAGACCTCAAAATATCATGTTTAGATTTTCCTCCAACATCCTACATTTCATAAAATAACAAAATCAAAAATCAGATCCAAGCAACACTCAAAAATCACAAAATCAAATTTGCTTGCATGCTTATTCTGAGTTTCATCACATGAATTAGGCCAAACTGCTCCTAATAAGTTGCAAACCAAAAGCAAAACATGTATGATGGGCCTCTTAAACATCCTAGACTATGCATGTGAAAGGAAGTGCTCAATGCAAATATCACCTTATCATGCAGAGATTAAGTTGTCACCTCAAGGCTCAATGCAATTCTCTGATTTACAAAGGCACGTAACCTAACAAACTAAAAATCTACAACGACTACAGTAGTACATATGCCTAATACTTCAATCTATGGAAGAGTTTTACTTCACCTTACACTATCTATTATGATTTATAGTCTCCTCCTTGACTCGACCGAGTTGAGCTTGAACTCGCTGACAAAGCTCCATCTTCTTCTTCTCAATCTCCTCTTTTGCCCTGAAATTCTACAAAGCAGACCAAAATTAAGGTGTATGATCATTCTCATAAGAGTCATAACCAGCTATAAACCTACCAAATTCAGTGGCTAAACCTAGAAAATAATTTGGTAAAGCAAATAGGGTATGTATTTGTATGATATGATTCACGCTCTTTCTTTTCTAGTCATGGAGAATTATCTCATACCCATTCTTTGCATCAGCATTCATCTTTTGAATTAGCTATAGGAATATCCTTGAGCCGCATCCCATTGCTACATGAAAGCCTCGTATTACCCTTACCCATGATTTAATCCCACCGCATGCACCTACACATACACCAGAGTCATATCTTAGTATCTTCTGCCATAAGGCGAAAGGCCCTGAAAGCATACATGATACATTTACAGCAAACCAACAAGTATTTGCCAGTTTAACCTTTAGAATTACAAATTCCAGAATTCAAATCATATAATTACAAAGAAATTGAAAATTAATAAACACACAATTACTAATTTTAATAATATATAAGAATATACGATAAAAATAGAAATTTCTGACCTCGACTTTCAAGGGCCAGCATGAGCCGCTGAGTAATGATCAATAGGCGCTAATAATAGATCTCCCACCAAAAAAAATCTAAACCTGCAAAATTACCAACAATATAACAAAAACCTTTCTTAAATGCAAAAGCAATTAAAGGGTGAAAATAACCTTAAAATCTTCAAATTGTAAGAATCTGAAGAAATTTCAAGATAATCCCTCTCTGATCACAGTGGAAGGAATCAAACCTAAACCAAAAATTAATAAAAAAAATTAAAAAAGATTTCAACGGCATAAAAAACCAGAAAACCTCAAACTGTAAGAATTGTACAGAAAACTTAAAGTTAAAAATACTAACAATGCGAAATCAAAAATAAAAGAAAACTTACCTCTTTCAATTGTAGAAAAAGAGGTTTTTCCTGTCTTTCAAATTCCCTTAAAGATTGCTCGACTGTACATCCCAGGCTTGGAATCGTTGAGTTGGCCCAAAAACCTAAAAAATCCATGAGCGACAATTCGACCAAGAACGCTGGAAATTAATACTAAGTTTTTTTTTTTGTTGTTTTTGTAATGTTCTATTTTAATTCCATTCACTTTTAATTTCTGTTAAAAATAAAAATTGTCAAAAAAAAAGGAATACCCAGTTCATCATCATGCTTGAATCAACAAAAATTGTAAAATAAACAACTGGGTTTTTCAAGAAATTCTTCTTTTTCCTACATATGAATATGATTAGGGTTTAATTAAAATTCGACTATACTAAAACTTGATAAAAATGGAAGGAAAATTTGTGATAAAAAGATCGTTTAATCTAATATGAATTGCGATTTCAGAAAAAAGAAATAAACGAAATTGGAAAATGGGTATTAAAGAGAGCTCACTGACGTTATAATAGACGGGTGAAGAAAATAAGAAAAAATAAGAAATACTGTATGAATGAGAAAACAACTACAAAAAATCAACATCAATTATAGTGAAATTAAAACCCAGATCATGAAAAAGGGAGGAGAATTAAAACCCTCTTGCTTCCATTAAAGAAGTCTCGTCATCTTGCTGCAAACCAAAAAAAAATTTCGCCAAACCACCTACAAATCTGTTCGAATTTCACAAAAAAAAATTGAGAGGAGAGAAGAGGAGATAAAGAACGTGAAAAGAGAGGAGAGAAGATGAGGAAAACTGAGAGGAGCAAAAGACTGAGCAGAGAAGACTGGGTAAAGAAAAGGGGCAAAACGTCACACCACCTGTAACAACAAGCAAATCAATTGTAAATATAAGGGCAAAATCGTAATTGTTTTTTTAAGGGGCAAAATTGTCAGCACACTATTACTAAGGAGTTTTTCAACTTGAGAACTTCTCACTTTTAATTTCTCTTTATTTTGCTGTTTGATTTTGCTTTAGATTGCTTTTGCCTTGTTATTTACTCATTTATCATGCCTTTGCTTGTTAATATCATGATTGACTTGTTAATTGCTATGGATAGTGAGTAGTTCTTTAGCCAAGGGTGTGGGGATGATGTAGTTGGAGTTTGTTCATGCTTTTGGTTTGGAATTCAAGTTGCTTGTGATTAAAGTCTTTACTTGCTTGATGTTCTTCGATCTTCTTGCAAAGTGCATGTTGTTAGTTAATTAAAGGTGAATTTATGCTAAATGAAGCGATAGTTGACTTAGCTAAGTTCATTTGTATCGATTGTTACTTGATTGCACCTCCCAATATATGATTCTAATGTGAAACATAAAGGCTATGTTAGGAGAAGCCAATTAACCTCGACAGGTGGCTAGATTGGATCCCTTATATCGATATCCAAGCATGTTTAGTTCATGATTAAGTTGTTTCCATGTTATTGCATGTTCAAGTAAAGCCTACATTTACCCATTTCTTTTGGTGTTCTTTTTATATTGTCTCTAGTTCATTTCATTCTTAGCTTAAATCTCTTAGATAATTTTGTTTTTCGTCCCAAGATAGCTTAATTGTTAGTAATGATCGCGGTGTTTAGCTCCTCTATGTGGTCCGACCCCTTGCTTGCCTTATATTCATATTAAGTTTATCTAGGCTGTGTAAATTTTATTTGATCTAGGGATAGGCATTTGACGACGTGTTTATTCCCTTGTCAAATATGCAAAGTAATATAAAGATTGTGAAAATTCGCTCGTTATTACATTTAACAACACACGGAACCGTTAGAAAAATTCAAAATGGATCAAATTTCGGATACTAGTCTTTTAAGTGACCAGTATATGTGCGCAAATTTAGAACTCTGGAAGTCATTATACTGGTCATTTAGTTTTAAATGTATATTGTAAACTAAATGAGCAAGCAAAAACGGTTGTTTAGAACTCTACTGAAGTCATTATATGTCGTCTGTATTCTTGATGTATATTTTTTGCTTTTGTTTCCCAAGCTTGAGTAGACGGAGTTGTTAGTCCAAGAGTTGGACTTGATATGCTGCCTGACCCCCGTAGAGGGCAGGTTGCAGGAGTGGTTGAGTATACGGATCGTATGATTGATGGGGCACATACGGTGCCGAGCTGATCACATGAGGACCTGTTCGAACGGACGAGCTGCTTGACAAGTGCTCTTACTCCAAGTAGGAATACCATAATAAGGTATTCTTGATGGTGCCCGATATAGTCGGCGTTAAAGCTATGTCGGACAATTGTTGGCTTTTCCTGTACTCGATGACCTATCGAGCATTAGTGTAAGTCTTCTTGCTTCCATCTGCTTTACAATGATGAATGGGCTTCCATTTTGACGTTTTAGGGAGATGTATCTTTTTGTCCACTAAATGAAGGGTCTGACCCCGTACTTCTACTTGGGATAAGGAGTAGGTTACCTACATATGCTTGACGGTTTTGGCCTTTCGAAGTGAGAAGGCCTCTTCGCCGACTGACACATGCTTGGGTAGCCGTCTAACTTTTGATGAAATTCTTCATCTCCCCTTTGAAGTTAGTCATGAATTTCAAAAATTTAGAACGGGTAATGTGAGAAGTTAGCTCTTCAGCACGAGGGTTGCCAGTAGACTTGCTCGCACCAGCCTTCTTAGCATTTTGCTTCTTTTTGTCCTTAAAGCATACGCGTTTACAATAGTAGAAAATTATAATTGGGCATCGCGTAATTGCCACCAGTTTTTTAAAATCGGTGGGGAAAAAATGGGCGAGATTGGAGAAAAGAGAATTGGCACCGGTTCAAACCAAATCGGTGCCAAATTACTTAAAGGGCACCAGTTCAAACCAGTGGGTTTTTTTTAAGAAAATAAATAAACCCTTTTATAATTAAAAAACAAATAAACCCTCGTTCACTCTGATTTCTCTCTCTTTGTTTCACCCCCTGTCTCTTTCTTTCTCTAACTCTTCTCTCTTTATCGAGCTTTCCACCGCCACCACTTCCACCACTACACCTTCCATCACCAGCCCACGCCATCTCTTTATTTCTTTTCTTTCAATTCCTCATTCTTCTCGAATCCCCTGTCTCAAAGGCGGTTATAGTGAGGGTGGTAGCAATCCGTGGTTGGATTTTTAGAGTTTTCTTCTCGAATCCTCCTGATGGATAGAATTTGATGCTTCATATCTTAGGTTGCATAAGAATTGTGTCCATGAAATTCGGGTTTTCCCTCAAAAGCAGTCGCATGTATGAAATTGATTTTTAGGGTTTTGTAATTTGGGTTTTTTTTTAAGATTTGATTTTAAATCTTGGTTGCTTTAAAATTATGGATTTGTTTCTGTTTAGGGTTTAATTGAGGAATTTTTAAGATCTGAATTGGCTTATATGATTTGTAGATGAATATATTGTGAATTAATTTTATTTCTTAATTTTTAGCTAATTTTATTGAATTGGGTTCATGATTTGAGTATTTGATTTAATTTCAAGGGTATAACAAGGGATAGATTTTGAATTTGTAATTTGATCTATATTATAAATTTTCATGATTTGGCTACTTGATCTGATTTGGAATTGCTCCGTAATTTGTTTAATTTTCAATATAAATTTGATTGTTTTTAATTAATGTTAAGTGTATGGTAGTGGGTTGAATGTGAAAATTCAGTATAATTTATGCTTTTGGTTTAGGGATCCTTAATTTAGATTTTAAGGTAATTGTGAAATAACAATATGATGATTTGATGATTCATGATTGTTTGCATGCTTGTTATTGGATGAATTTTGGGTAAAATGCAATTTAGAATATTGGCATAGTACTTAGATTTAATAAAATGATTGAATATTCTACTTTTGTAAAATAAAATTGAAAAATTGAAAGAATATAGAAGCATTTGAGGAAAAGTAGATTTCTATTTATGCATTATATTACTGGATCTTTTCAAACATAGTAGGATCAAGGCTTTTATTCAGGTTGAAGTGATAATATGAATTACATAAGGGGAACTTTTTCATCAGGCTAGCTGTATAATTTTAGCTTTCTAATTAAAATATATTGTCTATATCAATTATTTGGTCCCCATATTAATATAAGTTCATCGAAAACCTCTTAATTGAACTGTCTAATTTGTTTTTGACCTTTGATAACCTACTGACTCTACGAGTATCACTTTGTATCACTTCCCTCTTATTATTATTATTATTATTATTATTATTATTATTATTATTATTATTATTATTATTATTATTATTATTGTTATTATTATTGTTATTATTATTATTGTTATTATTATTATTATTATTATTTATTTATTTATGGCATTAAGACTTATTTTTTGTTGCAATTTTCCAATATTGTATTGTAATTGACAATGTGGGGAGTTAGAAGTTTTTGCCCATGACAATTAAGCTTTTCTGGGTTAAAAAATTCAAAGTTGTTCGTCTTGTTGTGCAAGTGAATAATTAGATTTTGTCGATTAATTATTTTTATCTGATCTATTTATGTCATTATATAAGGGTTTTTTGTCATATGGATGTCAACTAGCTAGGATGTTCAATTGATCTTTTTCTGTAATTGTGCCTTCTTTGGACCAAAAGAGAAGGATAATTTGCTTTTGTGTAGATTGGTTTGGTGACTTGTTATTGAGCTATTTGAATGTAGTCTGTAATGTAGCTCACATGACTCAATTTAGTGTCTCAAATGTCTTTTTAAAATAAAACGATCTGACACGCATACTTTTGTACGAATTATGTAGGAGAAAGTAGATAGAGGAGTGAAGGATAAGCATATTCTATTAAACTTTAGAAGAAGAATAAATGTTGTTGTATTAAGACTTTTAACATTAATGAATTTCATTGATGTGAATCTTAGCCATTTTTGTCTGACTGTTTAGCTTGTTATTTGACAAGTCTTTATATGTGTAGGTTTATGTATACTGTTAATGTGGTGGTATAGAACTATAGATGAAAGAGTCGTGTACTATAATAACAAATGGAAAGTGAAGATTTTAATGTTGTTGTTCGTGTATCGTGTAATTAGTCTTCTTGTTATTTGGGTTTGTACAACAGTATATGGTTGAGGTGGTCAGTAATGATGGCTAATGTATCTTCCATATTGCTTACAACTGCACAATTTTTTTTCAATGGAGGATGTTTTATACTACAAGCCTCATTTTGAGCAATTATTGAAGGAGTCAGGGAACTTCAACAAGAGCTTTCAGTCTCGTATGATTTTTTACAATTCCTTAAACCTGATATTAAGATCTTTATAGTTTTTGACCATTTAACTGAATCATGGAGTATTTTCTTGTACTATTTAACTAATATGTGTATGTTATTTTTAACAGCGCCTACAAGTCTACTGGCTGAAAATTAAAGTCACCTGATATGAAGCCTCAGTTGGTAAAATTCTCCTCCATTATTATGCTTCATTCTTTGATAAAAATGGGCTACCTAGTTGTTTCTCTAATATCCAATAATGTCATCTGGTCTCAGACAAGGTCACCAAGCAAAGCCGCGAGCATGTTTTTAGGGACTCAAGAAAAATGTACAACTTGTTCCAAAACTGTTTACCCCATTGAAAAGGTATTGTCTTTGTTATTATATTTGCACTTCAAAAGGTCAGGTTTAGCAATTGTTTATTTATCTCAGAGTTTGATTGTGTAACACCCCCTCCTCCCTTCTCACCACAACTAAAGAGACCAGGAAGAAAAATAAAAGAGAAAGTCATCTATCTCATTTCATTGGGTTGTCATTGTTGTACTTTTTTGAAGTTTTGTATTCGAGATTAACAAACTTATAGGTGAAAAATGTCAGCCAATTTGTAAGCTGGGTAGTGAGGCCATTTCTGTTTTATTTGGACTATCATGGAACCTACACAATCACACTATTGTCGTGTTGCTACTGCTTCTGTGTTGCCGTGTTGCTGCTTATGTGCTCCTGTTCTGCTACTGTGCCTGCATATTGCATGCTCTTTGTTTGTAACCTTGTATTTTATTTTATTTTGGACAAAAGTTGTAATATTACAACATTTTTTTTATGAAAATATGTAAGTTTATATATATGTTAGTGTTTATATATAAATTTAAGTAAAAAATATGCAAAAAAAAAAAATCATTTTTTGGCCATTAATGGCACCGGTTCTAAACGGGATTCGATGCCAATAACCCCTTAAAAAACGCAGTAAGGTTTTTTGGCACCAATTAACTAATGCCAAAAATAAATATTAGCACCGGTTTACCGGTGCCAATTTAAGAAATTGCCACCGGTTTTGAACCAGTGACTTTTTTTTGGATGAAATGGCATCCCTCAAATACTCAACTAGGGCTGTACACCGGTCCAAAACCGGACCGGACCTGGACCAGACCTGTTAGGACCGGGACCTGAATCAACCAATTTTGAAGACCGGAGACCGGACCTGATTCTACAGGTCCGGGTCAGGTCCAAACCTGAACAATCAGGTCCGGGTTAGGTTTAGACCTGAACAGACCTGTTTGTGGGTTTTTTTGTTTTTTTTTTTTAAATATATAAACTTTTGGACCTGTTTATGGACCTGTTTACATAAAATCTTAAAATATCATTCACAAAAACTACATAAAATCTCTAAGTCTCAAATATAACAAATAACTCATAAAATTACATAAAGTCTCTAAGTCTCAAATACTAGAAATACATAAATTATCCAAAGGCAACTTGAATTTTGGCGAGTTGCTTTCCCTTTGATTGCGTGATTCACACTAATGAGTCCACGAAAACAACTTCATCGTCTCCATCGTTAGATACATCATGTTGCACCTCTAAATAAAAAAACAATATAGAATATATTAATGAATGATAACAATGAAATAATAAATTTGGTGTAACAAAATTACAAGTACATAAAATTAATACTACCTTTCTCCATTTCTTCTAACTCTTTCAAATTTATCAATCTACTCCCAGCAATTGAAACATGAATTCGAAAAAAAATAGATACTTAAAATAAATAAATAAAAACTCAAAAAAAAATCATGAATTCAAAAAAAATGAACTTAAAAATAGAAATTCAACATGCAAACATCAAACAATCATTATAAGCAATTGAAACATGAATAAACATATAAATGCTCACATTTAATTCAACATTTCAAATACAAAATACCCAATTCAAATATAATTAGATTTAATTAAAAAAAGAACTTACAATTTCCCACCGTGAAGGGGTTTCCGTGCAGGTGGTAGCCTAGCTGATGCAGCGTGTAGGGGGTTTCGTGTTGCTGGTCTGGTGGGCGGTGGCGACTGGTGTTTAGGCGGTGGTCTTGTGTGCAGATCTGCATGCGTGACTGCGTGAGGGAGTGGGTGTTGCCGTGTTGGTGTGGTGTCGGTTGAGAGAGTGAGAGTGAGTGAGTGAGGAGTGAGTTAGGGTTAGTGGGTTACAAAAATACAATTGACTTGTTTTGAAATTTGGGATTTTTTTTTATAAAAAAAACGCATTTTTATCGGGTTTCAGGTCCAGACCTGAAAACCCTGGGTTTGGACCTGATCCGGAAACCTTGATTTTTAAGGACCGGGACCGGACCTGAAACTACGGGTCCGGGTCAGGTCCGGTCCCAACAGGTCCGGGTCAGGTCGGTTTTCAGGTCCGGTCCTGTTTATGTACACCCCTAAACTCAACGGTTCAATACCGATGTCTTATGGGGGTTTTGAACCGGTGCTAAAATACATTTTTCTACTAGTGTTAGTAATAAGGAAACCATCTTCGGCCGTATGTACTTTAACCTTTGATTCCTACTCAGTATCGTGGTGAATGAACTTCTGCTCCATTCGGATGTGGTACAATTTCTTCCGAAGCCATCTTAAATATACTCTCCCCATAGATGGCGCTAAATGTTTTGCGGTTTCCTGTTGTGTCCTTCGGGAGAGTTACAACTCCAAGACCTGGATCTTCAGGCGCTTGTATCCACAAAAAATGGAGGCTTCGATTGTTTGGAATTCCGTCTCCGACGATCAAGTTAGTAACTGTCAAAATTGAGTAAAATACGAAAAATAAAGTTGATCTTATCAGATTCTAAGATTTAGGAGATTTCACTATTGTGAGTGAATAGTGTAATAATTCATAAGTGTCCATCCCAAGGTAATAAATGTCCCTCTTTATAGGGCATGGGAGTGTGTGCCTTTACCTTAGGTCATTTAACCTAGGTGATTTGGCTATGATGTTTTTATGGCGCCTCGGGATTTGAGCCCATGAGGGCTGCCATTTTCCTAATGATGATGGATATGACACGTGTCTTGTTTCGGGGTTTTCTGATGTCCTGCGGGAGAGTTACAATTCCGAGACTGGAACCGGACGCCTGTACCTGCAAGACAAACGGATGCTCCGGATGATTGGAGATCCGCCTCCGACGGTCAAGTTAGTACTTGATTAAGGAGTAATTAATGCGGAAATTAAAGTGATTGGGTCTCTCTAGGTGAGAGAGTTTAATGTGTGTAATCTGCGTAATCTGCGTCCTCTCCCTTAATGAGGATTAAGGGAGGTATTTATAACCTCGGGAAACGTGCCAATCTAGGTTTAGGTTAACCTTGGGCTGATTGGGCTTCCCTCGGAAGTTGGGCCTAGGTGACCGGTTATCCCAGGTGTCATGGGAAGGACACGTGTCGTGTCGTAATTGGTCCATAGTGGACGGATCATTGCTTGACACGTGGCAGACTCCTATTGGCCCATGTGACGGACACATGGCGGAACCTGATTGGTCCACTTGTCAGATGGTGATTGGTGGGGAAAAATCCCCTAATCATTTGCCCCTCACAGGTGGCACGTAACTGGTCACGTGTTACCTGTGACAGGTATCGCCCTGTAACAGGCGACGGCCTGCTACAGGTGTCACTCGGCGAGAGGCCGAGAGATTCTCCCGCCAAAATTTTGAATTCTGGAAGTGACCCTTCGCCTATATAAAGGAGTGTTGACTTCGGTCATTTTCACACTTGAAAACTTTGTGAGAGAACATTCGGACCCCTGAACTTGCTCTGACATTTTGGACCCTTTCTGCCTACCGCCTGCTCTGACAAGCCGACTGCAAAGGATTTTCAGAACTTCATCAATCGTCACTCGTTCAGGTAACCGTCGGTTCTCTTACTCTTAATTTTCTCTTTACTTTATTCTTTTTTGAAATGGCACCACGGAAGCACACGACACGACCTAGGTTAGTGATCAGCCGGTCACCGGGGACGGCAGAATCTAGGACTAGGAGTGCCGCCTGCCCTTTTCTGGACCCATCTTTGCCCTTTATACAAAGTCCGACTGTATCTGTGTCTATGCAGAGCATGATGGCCAGAACAAAAAAGACTGCCAGGATCTCAAACTCAGACGGCTCCTCCCACAGGGTGCCGATTAGTGAAACATCTGACCAGGCGCCAGATGTGGAAGTGAAACAAAGCGGCTTGAAAGCCGGCAGTTCTGAGGGAGGAGTCAAAGTGACCCCTTCCCATTTTACAGTTGACAATTCTACATTCTCTCCTGCTCCTTTTAAAGGAGAGGAGGTGGGCCCCTCCGGGAGAGGGGAGGAGTCGTCCTCTTCGGACTCGTCAGAGGACGATTCCGAGTCTAGCTCTTCTTGCCATTCTTCTCTGGACACAGAAGAGAAAAACAGTCGCCTACAAGAGGCGAGGCTTTCTCACGCAGTTGAGAAGGGGGACGATTGGGCGGAGCCATCTGTCTCTCACCGAGAGCAAAATACCCCCTACTACTGCACGGTACCTTGGGGCCGGATCACAGCCATGCAAGAGAAAGTGGAGAGCTTTATCGCAAACTACACAATGGGCCCCGGCTTTTTAGTGTTCGTGCCGGATCCAGAAGACACAGTCGTCTGGCCGGTTGGTACCAGTTATGATGGCGCCTGCTTTGGCTGCTACGAGGCGGCCATCAAGGCTGGGTTGCGCTTCCCACTACATCCGGTTGTTCAGCAGATCTTGGATGGGTATGAGTTGGGGTTATGGCAGTTAGCCCCGAACTCCTGGGTCAACGTACTCGGCTATGTGGCCGGGTGCAAACTGCACGGGGTGGAGCCGAACTTCGAGGCTTTCGCCCACATGAACTACCTCAGCCGGACCCCTAAGGCAGGCGGTACCGGCTGGTATCAATTGACGAGCCACAGGGGCTACCTCATGACGAGAGGTAAAGCAAACAAATGGAAGGACTGGCGGAGCACCTTCCTTATCATTGAGAGTTCAGACACAGAGCTGAACAAGCGCTTCAACAGGTGGAACAGGAATCCGCCCCTTCTTGCAGGCGGCCGCAGCATGCCGCCTGTTCCCCCCAAGGCTAAGAAAGAGATCCTAGATAAAGGACTCTTCAAAGTAGAGTCGAAGGTGAACTCTACTTCAGGGGTACGAGAGCAAGTACCCATGCACTGCGTCCCGAGCTTCAAATGGCTCTACGACGAGTACTTTTTGGCCGCCTGTGGCCTCAGCAGTCGGTGCTCAAGAGGTAGCCGGCCTGTCGATTACTCTGTTGTTCCATGCATTTCTTGTTATGACTTTTATTAACTTTGCTATTTGTTTTTGCAGCGGACGCCATGAGCAAAATTACCGCCTCCAAGACTGCGGCGGCC